AAAATGTATTTTGAAGAATGGAAACCTCACCAGAGCAGTGTTACTGTGAGAAATCTCTAGCATGAGAGCAATGACCTCCAGTTCTCTGCACCTCAGCGAGCTTTGCATGATGAGTGAAGGTGATTCTGCTACCTGATTTAGGGACAATACAGGCCACAGCTCACATGTAGATGCAAGTCAAAATCAGTATTTAACTCTAGGAAAGTCAGCTTTTACTTACTGTCTCCTAGTTCTAGTTGTATTCCCTCCAATCCAAATAATAATAATTTTTAATTTTTTTTCCTGACAACTTTTACCTGGGAGTTTTTGTGTACCTTACAGACTGATGCTCTGAGCTTCCCAGCCTCCCACTAAGAGACATGTTGTCTGACACAGGGGCAACGATGAGCACAGGGAGTGCCATGGGATATTCTGAGCCAATGTTAGAAAGGATTTGAACCCAGCATCCTGCTTCTGCATTTTTATAGTAATACAGAGCTACTACCTATGCAATGATTTTACTCCAGAACCATTTGTAATAGCAGTGAAGTTTAAAAAAAGAAAAAGAAAAAAAAGGATAAAAGCAGCATTTAGTTTTCATAATTCTCCTCATCCCTTTTTATATTGTATTATTAAATGCATTTCTAAGGCTTTCTCTTGAGGGAGGAAAGAAGGCATATTCATTTTAAGCTATTATTTCATACTTTTCATTAGCTGCTGATTAAAGTACTTTTAGAGTGATTTATGACATCGTTATTTCAAACTCCTACAAGAAAGGTGGGCCTGAAAAAGCATCTTGTTGTTTGAAGATTGTGAGATTTGAGCTGTGATGGAAGAGAATACAATTGTCTTGGATCTTTCAAGGAGAACAACTTTCTCCATGTCTCATGAGTTCAAATATTAATTTTGTTTTCTGGGCCATTTTCTCAAATGCTACTAATGTGGTGAGATATGGAAAAAAATAAGTACTGAGATAACGGGCCCTAATTTCTTCCTTTAAAGAAAAGGACCAAAATAAGCAGATAGGTTCCAGAACTTTAATGTGATGTCTTCTTAGAAGGCAGACACCAGCATTGTGTATCGCATGCAGTTTCTGAATGGGTTTTGTGTGTTGCAGAAGTCCAGCCTGGAAAAGTATACTGAATAGATCACCTTTGATAGCTGGGTTAGAAAAATGTCCCCAGTATCTTGTTAGTAAAAGATGGAAGGTGGCACTGCTGCTGCTGTTTGGCTCTGCAGAATAAAGAGCAGCTCTATGACTAATCATCATTCTGGCTGAAAACAGGATCCGAGTGAAAATGACATTACAGTTTCAGGCAGTTTCTTACAGTTTTACCTGTCCTCAACCTATGTTGTGTCAGTCCAGTTGGGATTGCCCTTAGGTAACCTGCTTGTTTTGTTCAGGTCCTCATTTCACAGGAAGACTTATGCAGCATCAGCAGAACTTTATTGTCCATATTTGCATAGAACTAGATGCAGAGTCAAGGATCAGAGAAGAGCTGGAAAGTGTAACAACTTGATATTCCCCAAAGGTCTCACATTTATGAAATGACAAATTTGAGCACTGTGAGAGTTTGCAGCTTGGACAGACAGTAGGGAAATGAAGCAGCTGCACATCACAGCCTTCAGAGATCTAGCATAAAAGTGAATGGAGCTGTCTTCAATTACATCTGTCCATTTCTGACAGGTGTGAAGGTGCATGGGAAGTTCCTTTGATCAGCAGTTAACTGCTGATGAATACTCTGCAGAGGTTGATAAGCCTTGTGTGACACTGGGTAAATGTGCTGAGGAGATAATGGATCCATGTACTGTATTGCCCCAGAGCATAGATTGGGGATTTAATCGAGTCAAACTCTACCTTCTCTGCAAATTTGTCCAACAAAAAGAAGTCTGAATCCAGATACGGTTCCTGAGAGCATTAATATCCCTGTTTTCCCTCTTACCTTTCCCATTTGTCATGCTCCAGGCATTTCTTTTTGTTCTTTGTAAATAGTTTGGGGCAGAGGGTTCATCTGTGTACATGAACATACATATACAAGCTATCACATGTACCCAGGCTGCTGGATGCTTCCAGTATGTTGGGAGGCATTAGCAAACTAGATAATCCCTACAGGGTTTCACCACCCAGCCAGGCAAGGCACAGACCTATTCTTGACAGACTTGCTTCTTAGAGGACTGGTCCTAAATCAAAGACAATGAGAGTTCCTCATTCCATTATCTTTTTGTCAGAGAAACTCTTCCAAAAATTTACAGTCCCCCCTGCAAACCAATGTGTAAAGCTGCAGCAAGAACCACCAGTATTTGGATGAAGGGCTTGCAGATCATTTCTGCAAGTTCAAGCTGCAAGAATCCTGCACTGAAAGCGAAGTCAGTTCAGTGTTCAAAGGAGAAATGGAAAAAGTTATTTGTCACAATTACATTCAGACCTATTTACTTGCCACGTGTTGCTCAACACCCCTATGCATAGTCTAGCTACTGCCACTAGCAAGTGCTGAAAACTTGGAGCGGCAAAGTTCAAGAAACTCTGTTTGAAAGCTTGTCCTTTGACAGCAGATGGCTGCAGTGCTTCAGCCACTGGATGATCTGCCTTGTAGTGAAGTGTTCATCATCTGGGTTTCCATGCTATCCAAGTAGTGAAGTTTCTTAAGAACATGCAGATTTTGTTGGAGACCCAGTCAGTCAGTCAGAATTTGTAATCCCAGTGGCTGAACCATAATATGTGTTTTTACTCCAGGTATGACAAAGATCCAGTCCAGTTTGTGTCCATATGAGTGGCACTGGAGAGACTGTATGGGAGATTGGGGCTGTCTTGTATGTGAAACCACCGCTTGTGAAGACACTAGCTCATATTTTAAGTAGGACCTGCACAAAGAATGTCACAGTGCAAGGAAGGTGAAAAGATGGCACACACCTGTACTGATCCTGCCCTATATTAAGTAGCACTTTGCTTTACTGCGATTCCAGCTGTTTGTCTTTTGTGGGAAACATGGAGCTGAGTGAGTCAGAAGTAAGTTCTCCAGTGCAGAAAACACCCGAGTCTTTAAAGACTGTGAATGTCTCCTTTGTACTTCTATCCTGCAGCCAGAGTCCGTTTGTCAGAAAGTTCAGTGACTGTCATGGAAGGTAGGGGTTCTTGCTGTTCATTTAGTTCCATGTTTGCACATAACTGAAGAGGGTACTTTGAAAGGTAACGGATCAAAGATGACACAGGACTGATGTTGTGCATATTATGATATAACAAACCTGTGGAACTTGCTACTGAAGGAGACAGGGGAAACAATGGTGTCCAAGAAACTTTTGAAAAGTACAGAAATACAAAGAGAAGAGAGAGGTAACAGGAGAGCAGCACAACTCGCGACACCTGGTTTTGCAGGGCTTTGAATTGTGTTGCTCCTTTCTGATTCTGCAAACATCATACATACGTTTCCCCGCAACTTCCCTCCTCCCTCAAGCCCTCAACTACTGTAGTTTGCCATGAACTGCGTAAGAGACTACACGTACTGCAAGCGAGCGTGCAAGAGCCCAAAGCTAGGCAAACAGAGATTGCCCAGCTAGCTGCTGCCTCTTGGCTGCCAGGCAAGCCGAACAGCCTGCGCTTCCTCGCAGCTGCTGGCAGGCCAAACAAGTAGCTTCAGGAGCTGCAGTCAACCCCTGGGCCATGTCCTGTGGCGACCTGTTGCAGGAACTTGTAGTGTTAAAGCCCTTCAGCCCTTTGTCGGATGTGACTAAAATTGGCCAAGAGTCAGAAGGTAGTGGGAGGGGGAGGACTGGCAGCTGACAGCAATCACAAAAGCCCTTCCCCTGGCTAACCATGACATGAGTAAGCATGAGTCATAGTGTAAATTGATGAGCCTAAAATTATCTACAAGGATGAATACCGTCTAACTGGCCCAACACATTATGGGCTTTCTGCTTACTCTGGAATTGGCAGATTTTGGCTTTGGGTGCAGATAGGCTGACCGCTTGACTATAGGCCAGTGTAGCCTGACAGCTCCAGCTGCATTTTTTTTTTTATTTGGGCCTGCTGCTTTTGCTTTTAGATGGAGATTCAGCGGGAACCTTCTTCCCTACATTGTAGCCTCTAGGCATTACTGATTTGGTGCTGAAGCTGGTATTTTCTTCTCCTGGCAGCTCCTTGTCCTCCGGCATTGAATCCAAGCCGATGCTCCAGCCCCCTTCCCTCCGGCATTGTTCCCAGGCTATCGTGTCAGATGCAAAACAAATACTCAGTGGCTCAGAGCTCCTTACATCCAGGAGAAATTGCATTTCACACTGGCTCTGAACCTCCTCTGCAGAGCCAAAGCAAAATTAATGCGGAAACTAATCCCTTTGCCCCTACCACGCACATCCTCTTCAATGGTGGAGCCAAGAAAGACTGAAGAGCATTAGCGTTTTCTGTAAATTTCTCTGAGATAGGAAATACCCTGCTTTTCACTTTCTCTTCTTCCTCTTTCCCAGTTGCTGCATCAGGGAAACCGGTCTTCCCTGGAGCAGGAAAGCGCCTTCTTCCTCTTCCCACTACTAGTGTTACGAGTTTATTTTAAGAAGAAATTTCATACCTATGCAGGATTGCTATAGCTAGTCTTGGCTCTCAGTAGCTGTTAGCTAGACCAAGTAGGTGGCAGAGCTTGTTAGAGTAACTGCTGCCCACTCAGAAGCAGCCAAGAATAGCTGTAGCCTCTCCTAGGGATCGAGTATACAAGTCTGGAGCTCCAAGGGTCCCTTCCTGTGATGCATACGACATTACCATCACAGCCATGGGAATATGCTACTGTGTGAAACTGAAAGACGCAAAACATCTGGAAACGAGGGCAGCCTGTAATGCTGAATTGACAAAAGAAGAAAGGGCATCAAGGTTTCTGGTCTCCCCGACTTCCCTCTTTTCAGGTGTCACAAACTCCAGTGCAGCCTTGTGCACTGTTAACCCACCGCAGTCCTTCTCCCAGCTCGGGGACAGTTTGCTCCAGGAACGTGGCCTCTTTCTCCTTTGCAGTGACTCATTAGCATTTGTTCTCGCACAGGCTCCTGGACTGTCCAGCTAGAGAAGGGAGGCACTGTGGTGGTGCTGCGGAGCCTGCTGTGGCTGGGACTGACGTTCTACCATGTCCCAATGACCAAGCAATATGGCTACGTCTACTTTGGCACTGGCGAGAAGAACTTGGATCTGCCCTTCATGCTGTGACTCTCCTGTGTGGGACGAGGACTTGAGAACATTTAGATTTTATACTTAGGAGATTTTTGTTTACTGCTTGTTCTAATAAATGTGTGAAACTTCTGCACTTTGAGCAGGATTCTTTTGTGCCTGGACTCTGGCCCTGATTCTTTTCCTAGGACTTCACTGTGTGCAATCCTCCCTCAACTCCAGATCGAATTCCCTGTAATGTGTCACGGCAGATCTTTTAGATAGTAACGAATGGCATTTTCTTCCATGACGGGTGAAGCCCTAGGTCAGAAATCAAACCTAGGCCATCTGCCTGATTAAAAAGACACCATGCTTACACAAAAACTAATTTGGAGACAACATGAATGAATGCCTGCTGTCACCCATGAATGACAACAAAAACAGAGTTGGAGTCAGAGTAGAAAGCTGATGCATACTGTAAGGGATCAGTACTAAACCCTGAACTCTAGAAAGGCATACCGAAGGGAGTATTTTGTTTTTCACATGCTAGGTTTCACCAAAATTAGAGGGGTCTTTCCAGCTCATGGCACTAAACTGTAGAAAAAAATTAACTGTGGGCATCACCTGGTCTTTTGCAAAATGTGTTCATTCAGGTTAATCTCAATGGTTTAATCCAGTGACTTTTCCATTAGTAAAGCTCACTGAGCAGAGCTACCTGGGCTAGAAGACATAGTAACTTTTGTATGTAGGAGAAGAAAGAAAAATCTTTTCCCTTCTGAAGGGCTGTAGGTTTAAAAGCTTCATAAAATAGAGACGGTCAGCCAGAGATTTTATCTCAGTATAGTTAATGAAGTCTTGGCTCTGTCTCCCAAAGCAAAAAGATCTTGGCCAGCTCAAGGGGCTCAATGTAGGGCTTCCATTTCACAAAGTAAGGCTAAAAAGAACCATTATAATCTAATTTTATTTCCAGGGTAATAGGGTTTATCCTTACCTTTTGTTCCTGTCCATGCTGATAGGTATTAGCAGATGATTCTGATGAAAGCAGTACAAGGTTAAGTGGCATAGTAGTACATAAAAAAGCTGTGCTGATTTGTAGCCCCCAGATAAATATCAAAGAAATGGAGCCAAAGCAATAATGACCCTGATAAATTTAATGAGCCTTTCATACCAGGCCCATAAGTAGCACTTCTCAAGTAGCAGTGGTCAGTAGGTGGAAGGTGCATACATGTACTGTACAGAGAGAGAAATGGTGCCACCTTTTAGTTACAGGATGGAAAATCATGCACATCTATCAGCCCCAAACTATCCCAGGAAGCAGCCATATCACTGACATGGAAGACTTATGGCAAATGTGTTTGCAAGGGGAAAAAACCAGGCCAAGTCATCGACAATGTCAACATTCTGTATTTGCTAGATCCAGGAGTGAAGCACAAGCCAGGAATCCTGAAGGGGACAGGTAAGACACACACATGCCTGTCTGCCACTGCCACAGGTGTTCTGCTGCAAATTATGCATAGTACAGACTATAAAAAAAAATTCATTTCAGTAGGCATGAACAATTTCTGTTACTGCCAAGGAAACACAGTGCTGCAGGAGTCTTTTTCTTCCATCAGTATCACAGGTACAAAAGCCCAAATGAGGCAAATCTCAGTTGAAACACAGGTTAATGGGGAATCACCATTCATTGCTGGAAAAAGAAGGAAACATCCTTTTCCAAACCCAGTTATAATGAAACAAAAGCCTTCAGATCCTTTCTGGCTTTGAGGTAAAAGTCTTTGCCTCCTGCTGTCTCCAAATCATTCTACACATTGAACTTTGCTTTGCTGAATCTTGTATTCTCCTAGAGGAGCAGATCGCAGCTCATTCACTGGAGACAATATAGAGTACTAATGACAGTTTTGGAATAAGAAAATTGGAGATACTGACAAACTTGCAAAAGAAGCAGAACAGTGGAAAACAGCTGTGCTTACTGACTATGCCAGTTCTGGCCACTAGTGGTTTAAATAGAGAGGCTTGTGTGTATATTTGACATTATCCTTCAGCAAAGGGTGTCCGACTGGCATGGGTTTTTTGCACCACTTAGGGCCCCTCCTCCAGATGGGCTTTGCAGCTCTGACAGACCAGCGGGTCAGATACCTGTCAAAACAACACAAACGTATTTCAGTTTGAGACTGATCACTGAGAAGAGGTTCCGACTGAAGCAGGAGCAGGCGCTGTAGCCTTTGCCTCCCCACATGCTTTATAGAAGGAATAATCGTGAGCAGAGCTCCCTCAATTCAGAAGAGACCACTGGAAAGGAATTTTTGTTTGTTTTGGAACTTCTAAGCTGCAAGTCTGTACTGAACCCACTGGCACCTGCTTGACTTCCAGCCTACAAATCAGGTGTAGTCTCCAGGCTGCTGGCAAGCTGTCCACCTGTAGCTAAACTGGAGTGCCAAATTCCTTCATTGCAACTAAGTCCAAGACTGAATGCATCCAGCCTCTACGGGAGGTGTTATTTCAACAGCTGGCCTCAATAAGGTAAACTAATTACAAAGGCTAAACTCTGTGAGAAATAAAGTCTCTAAAAAGGGATTTGTTTACTTTCAGAGGATAATCGGTTATTTCTTCTGCATGGGATGGGTTTCTGGCCTACTCTTGTATTTTCATATGTCCAAATTTTCTTTAGTATCCTCTGTACAATACTATTGCAGCTTGCTGGTGCAGGAAGTCAGAACCCACAATGTAAGAGGTACTAGAATGGAATTATCATCACAACTACAAATCTCTGTGAAGAGCAACGTCTGGCAAATATCCTCTGCTTTTTACCATTTGAAGTTTTAGACTTGGCTTTGCAAACAGGCAGGGGATTTCAGATCTAGAGTCAGTTACTGGAAATCTTATGCTGTGGCTGGGTGGCCTGGAGTTTTGTTAGGCTTTAAATCTTTTGCTACCAGTAGAGAGGCGAATAGAGGTCCTTAGAGAAAGAGGAGTCTTTTCAGACAATAAAGATCCAAAGTAAAACCCTAGCATAATCTGCACAAACAATGCTCCAACAAATTAGAATTTGGAACAGACTGATAAACTTTGTCCAGCGATGTTTGCATGCCTCCGTTGAGTAATCCCATGGTCTTAATGTAACTTCAATGAGTCATCCTCTCCCCGAACAGCTTTGTTACCTTTTATTTGCATCGTGCAAATTTGAGATATTAAGAACTTTGGACAGAGACTATGTAATGCATTTGTTTGAAGGCATTTGGCACATTCCTTGGAACTACAAAGAAAGCTTGCTATGCCAGGCAGCTACAGACTGTATAACAGCAGCCCATTTTCCTAGCACTTTTCTTCCTCAGCAGTCCCAAACAGCACAAATTGAAAAATCAATTGCATTTGGAGGTTCCTGCCATTGAAATGAAGCCACTTCCAAAATGCTTTGCTTTTGCTTTGAGGAGTTTATGATAGTTAAAACACCTAGAAGCAACAGCAGGAGCGATTTGGGAGTCGGCGTAGAGCAAGATCCAGCCGCTGTTCTCCTATGCGTGCATTCAATTAGTCCCTTTTGACCTTTAATGTTACGCTAGTGCATTAGTGGAATCCCTTACATAACAACATCGGGACAGGAAGTAGGAAAGACTCTCCTGTCTCTAATTTCACATGCAAGGGGAGTTCAGAGAGTCCAAACGCAGGTCCCCAGTTCGGAATCTGGCAAAGAACCATGGCAAGGCAGCTCCTCTGGGAGAAGCTGTGGGGGTATTTGACAGGCACATGGGGCTAGGTCCTTCTTTTCACATTCCCCTTGCTGCAGGGGGAGGTCTGTAGTGCAAGTTTTGATATCGCAAGACTGCACTTACAGTGAAGGAGGAAAAAAATCCCAAATTCTTTTAATGCATCAGTGTGCCAAGTGCAGTTCTGGTCACGTGTCCACATGCTTACGGGAAAGTGCTCCCATGATAATAAATGATCTCACTGGGAGAGAAGTGAATGTGTGAATGTGAGATACGCATCAATGCTGTGTGCAGGTTTAGCAGACAGTGGCTTTTTAAGAAATCCCTGTTTCTGTGTGGGGGCTGGAAGTGCACACCCCAATTCTGCATAGGAAGGAGGATTTAGTAATGGCCTGATTTTAAAGCTTTTGTTATTTCTCTTTTGAGCAGGTCTAATCCAGCCCTCTGGTCCAGGCTTTTGGCTTCCTTTGGGGACTGCAGGCTGGGGCTTTTCATTGTTAGCTGAAACAGACATTTGGACGCTTTCCCTTCCTGGAGCACATTTGCTTTTAGCACTTTTAATACTTGCTTTGTCCCGAACTCAAACTTGTCCTATTTTGTTTGCTGCCTCTTTCTTTCTTTTTTCTTTCTTTTTTTTTCTTTTTACCTTGATTCAGCAGTGGCAAAAGCCTGATGCCTGGGAGCAGTCAGTCTACAAAGGTCCTTTTCCTCTTTGACTAACCCCAGTTCCTACTGTTTCACAGACAGATTTTTTTTTCCCCTGAGAGTAAAAACAATCCACAAAACTCACATGCGAGAGCTTCAAAGCCCAGCACACAGGACTTTTCTGCAAACTCTGCTGTCCGTATAAGGTAGTGTACCCCCCTTTCTAGCCAAGTCACCCAACTTTCCATTGTATCCAACCACATGGTTTGTCTTGGGGAGTTTTTACAATAACCTACAAACACACACTGGCAGATAGTCTGAATTTTCTCAACCAGCTGAGGGTTGTCAGGACAGAGCCTCCACGTGGGTGCCAAAATGCAGCTGGTCCACAGTCTCCTAACCTGTTATCTCAGTGTGCAGAGCCCTCTGGACGAAGGGGGACAGAACTGCCAATCTCGGGGACTGGCAACTCACCTTGGGGCTCTGCTTGCCCCCCTGAATACAGTAGGATCCTGGTCAACAGCCAGAATCCCTAGACTCCAGCTGCACAAATGAGTAGTTTGGATAAAGCGTGATGGGAATCCTGATGGGATTTCCCTGATGGGAAAAGGCAAGATACAAACAGGATGGGAACAACTGTGGTTAGTCACCTGCAGTCATTGCAATTGCCTAAAATCTCCGCGGCACATGGAAGTCCGTTTCCATGGATTTTATTCAGTGAGCAGGAGGGCCCCAAAGCCTTCCCACTCAAAGGCTGCCATTTAACACCTAGGAGTAGGCACAGGGCTTCCATGTGCTGTGTAA